ACGATTGTCGCGCAAACTGCCACTCTCTCGTTAACCCCACACACGGCTGAGGCCCCATCGTTTCATTTCCTTGTCTTTCACCGGTGCTTTATGTTGTATTGTGCCACAACAAAGCCATTCTACGGGGCTGCTTACCACTAACACTTGAATGAATCCAACGCCTACGTTCTCGGAGCCTTTTAAAAACACTTTCGTCGAATTAGTTAGACTTGGTTTTTGCATTATTCCCGATGGTTGTTTATGACTTGTCGAAAGCTGTCCTTGTCTCTCACGGATATACTTTTGAACAACTAGAATGTCTTTGGTAAATTGACAAAATTCTAAAATTACCTAGGCCGGTTAATTCAGTTTTCAACTTTGCTAACCGCTCTGGCAAAGTAATTGGTTAAGATGGTTGAATTCTAGTCAATTTAGGGACAGTATCACTTGGTTAGATGTGGACGCGATGGGGAAAATTAGCAGAAGTTTCGGCCGCAATACATTGTATAGGACACAAATACCTCATCGTCAGCACATTCATTTCTGAGGCAGCGACTCCGGACAGGTCTAGACGTTTGTATGTTTTCCAGTGATTGGTTTTCCCCCCACCGGCCACTTTGCACTCCCATTGAAGGTTAAAGCAACTGGCCTGGAACACCCGCTACTTCCGAGCTCGTCTGCACGAGATGGGCCTGATTGTCTTCGGCAACCGTGACAGTCCTGTTGTCCCGCTCATCCTCTACATGCCAGGCAAACTCGTGGCGTTCTCACGAATGTGCCTTGAACGGGGTCTTGGGGTTGTGATTGTCGGCTTCCCCGCCACGGCCCTCTTGGCTTCGCGCTCCCGTTTCTGCATCTCCGCAGGCCACACGAAAGAGATGCTTGACCAGGTAAGCTCCTTGCCCACCTTTCCAGACGTGTTGTGCATCACCCACCACACCGACTCCACTCAGGTAACCTCATGTTCGTGGCTTCACAGGAGGAAAGTCCGTATGATTCTGCAGCGTGGGTAATTTTGGTTCAAGAGCATTGGACCTTTGAACATAAGGGTAGGAACGCTTCGTCACCTTGCAAACTCGTGAAATTTGGAGTCATTGGGATTTGAAAAGTTGAATCGGATTTGAGCACAAGGTGGATTAACTCGAGCATTGTAATTTTGTTGTGCAACCGATTTGTTATTTTATAACACAAATTTTCCACATGTTCAGTTGAAACCTCAAAGTAGAAATCATACGTAACATTGCATTTTGAAGCCTGCCACAGACCATTCCGGATCTCCTTTGCGACACCCATCCGCTGCTAAAAGAGATCTAACTTAAGTAAAACGACTGTTTTGAGAACTGTTAATTAAGTTACCCTGGCAAAGGTCGTGTGTTAATTATATTCTCCAGCATGTGATGAATGGAGCCTTGGTATTTCTTTTGCGCGATGAGTGGGCGGTCGTGCCACCCTCACACTGAATGACACCGCACAGAGTTGTGTCATTTATTTCAAACTAATCTAGTTTCGGCTAAGGCTGGTTTTTTGTTGAAAGCAACTTCACCAGGTTAGCCTCGGTGATGTAGGTTGCGGGTTGAGCCATCACGGGCCTAGTTACTGAGACTTCGCCTGTCTGACCACACGGTCAACTAGTGTTGCAGCCGTGGCTTTGGTTCAGTCGGTGCTCATGACCCCGTCTGTACTGTGGCGATAGCTAAACTATTATTGGTCAGGCGATTGCTCGTGCCACTAGTCTCAACGATGGCTGTCGATATTTTCAACCTGCTTTTCAGGGCCACCATATAACAAGGCTACGAAACAAGATATGATGCTGAAGAATTCGCATTAAGCGAGTAAATAGGTAATTTAGGGAGTGTTTTACTCCTACTAGAATGTGTGTAGGGTTAAGGCTCTTAAACCTTTAGTGCTGTTAAAATGTCTGCAAATTTTCAAGAGGTCTCGACAATTATTTTGCTCACACTTCCTCAATCCACTCTTTTGCCGCACTGTTTCACGCGCTAAACCAGTGGCGTAATAATTAGCTTGTGTGGTGCTATTTTCTTGCAGTAAAGCCCTCTGAATCGATCCTCGATCGGAATGTCGTCAACACGTCTTTTAAGTAAAAAAAGTCTTGCTTTTATAACGAGCGATAACGTGAGCTAGTCTTTTAAACTCCCCAACTATGACCTTAATTGCGTGACATGTCGCAGGGGCTCAGAGTATTTATGCACTCCATCAGATCCCACTCACGTGACAGACTGCATGGCGTGTTTACCTTTG